TACCAAGTTGTATCCTATAAAATTTAAGTAACACAGAGAATATGGTAAACTCCCCCTGCAGTGTCAATGAATCTGATTAAGTGACTGAAGTTGGAAGCTCCCAGCTCAAATAAGCAACAAAATTTCCAGTCAAAGAACTAAATCTAGATATGAAGCTGTTGATCTGTTACCTCATGGGAAAGCCTTTAGTAGGCTACTATAGTTATCAAAAGATAAAGCCTGGAAATTCAAATTTAAGGTCATACTTAATCAACCCAAACATTGTGTATTTTCATATTTTGTAACTGAAGTTACTTGGACAACCACAATTCTGCCCCTGTATCTCTATCTACAGAGGAACCAAAAACTAAGAAATAATTCTATCCATGCAAATAAAAAATGCTACTATAGTAGGTAGTGCGTAAATTCTACCTCACATGGCTACTAATGAAAACATTGGCTCCAATCTCTTCCCAGAATAACCCATTACAGTGATTTTCACAATTAAGCAACCAGGAAGCAGAAGATAAACAATTAGGCAATTCACTACCGCCCATAAAGAGGGCACTGTCTCTTTCTAATCTGACTGAATATTTCTAGACCAGGAAAAGCCATGGAGTGAAGAGGAGAAAGACAAATCAAGATTACCAATAAGTAATTTTCTCATCATCTGCTTTATCTCTTTCCCATGTTACAGCATCAGGTAGGAAGCCTATGAAAGCAGCCATGACCTTTCAAACTTCATAATGAGTGGAACAGTTTGGTGATCTGCATAAAAGGGACCTTAGAAGAGGGGTGAGAATCTTCAGGAATGATGGATTGTTCTTGGTGTGGCCCATCTGAAGGAGTAGCTAAGGAATAAAGAACTACCCTTCAATAGTCTTGACTGCCTTGAGGTACCAAGTCCTTTTCTCTGTGTGGCCTTTGGAGATCGAGTGGTTCTAAAATTGACTAGTCTAGGGAATCCAGTACTATGAGGCTTCTGTTGACAGCTAAGGAAATCGTCCTGATAGAGATTGCCTTAGTGTACACAGAGTTGAGTGGCAGCTGCTCTGGAAAGATGCAGGGTTCCCTAAAATGGTCTGACTTCCTTGGTGACACTAAGTAAGCCACTGCAAGAGGAAGTACAGAGTGCTATGGAAGGCGGGGCTCCACTAGTGAAGTAGCAAAAGTAAGTTTCTGGCCAGGTCACTCTGGAGTAAGGGAAAGCAAGGAATAAGTTTGAATGGAGAGTGGGGGAAGAACAAATGTCAAGATTCAGCAGAAAGCAGAGGATTGAATGCAGGGCCTGTCAGCTATACAGTCAGAGCTGCTGGCTCAGATTAGACAGAGCCCCTAGATGTGGTGGAAGCAACTAAAGGAAGAGCAGGAAACAGAGCTCCTATAAAAAGAAAAAAGCCCAGCAGAAAAGGTGGTGGGGGTCAGAGTAAGTAAATTAGGAGGCTCAAAATTGCCTCCCCAACAACAGTCTGGAAAGCTGTGTAAATGATGGAAGAGGCGGGAGAGGGAGGAATGCTACAGAGCCCAGAGGGACAGCATGAGGGAAGTATACTTACTTGTCAAGAACCTCTACAAATTGAGAGAATACGTGGCTCAGATGGAGAGACCAATGTGTTTAAAAGAACTAGATAAATTCATGGAGGTTAAGTCCATTAATGGCTATTAGCCAGGATGGGTAAGGAATGGTGTCCTTAGCCTCTGTTTGTCAGAGGGTGGGGATGGATGGCAGGAGAGCGATCACTTGATCATTACCTGTTAGGTTCACTCCCTCTGGGGCCCCTGGCATTGGCCACTGTCGGTAGACAGGATACTGGGCTGGATGGACCTTTGGTCTGACCCAGTATGGCCATTCTTATGTTCCAAACAGCTTCTCTTCACCCTTTCTTCTTGTAGAAAAGGAGAAAAGCGGGGGAACAGTTTTTTACACTAGTATGAAGGAGGAAGAGCTTGCCTTAGATAAGTGCAATCTTTTTACCTCCTGCTTTCTGGCTAGAAGAGAGAACATGTAATGTTTCTCTATAGAATGGAGCACAGCGAACACATTTAACAACTCTCCTAAACCCTGAACTCCCTATTATGAAAATCAGTAATTGAACAGGGAAGTGTAATGATGGCTCATGCTTAGACTCACTATGTACAGCTCTCAAAAGAAATTGTCCTAATGAGCTTCTCAATGTCATAAGCATAGTTGACAGAATGGTACCTGCCCCCAGTCTCAGTAGAGAAGAAAAGTCCTACCATGAGAATTGATATACATGGTAATTACTTGAAAACAAATTCCGTAGCCCATCAAGAACAAACAAGAGGGGTTCCCCACCAAAAAAAATAAAAATAAAAAAGCAAGCAATTAGGTCTTGTGGGTTTGTGAGTTTAACAGTTTATAATATTTTAAATGAGTAGGGTGGAAGGAATGTAATCAAACCATCACATTTAAAAGACCAAGCGTAAAATAGGCAAATTCCAGTGTTTCATTCAGAACCAAGTATTTTTAAAGAAAGGTAGACATAACTCATCTGAAGCCTTAAACAAATAGAAACCAACACAAGTTATAGAAAATGAATTTGAATAGTAGAGCACCAGAGATTCACAGAAGATCCACTGTAGATTGTCGCTGTACAGGCATTCCCTCAATTCTTGGGGAAGATTGAGTGTTTCATTTTCACATGAAAATGTACAAACTATTTGCTGTGATATTTACTAGATGATAGGGGTTGAAGAAATTAAGAGAGCAGAAAGCCCAAACCCTCTATTTCAGTATCTCCATTCTCAGTCAGCACCTTAACTCCTTAATTCTATGAACAGGGCATTAGTTGGCTTCCTACCCTGTACAGGAGTGGCCCAGTCCGTACCTGCAGCTGAGATGAGTACAAGATAAGAGCCATCTGTCCCTTGGCTGAGGAAACCTCTGTTAACACATCAGTGCTGCATGTACTAAGTATTTCTGAAACCCTGAACAGTATGGCTCACAGATGACATGTGATGATCAAGAGCAGACCATTTATTTATGCTCAGTGTTTTCCCTAGAACAGCAAGTCTCATACTTTATTGGTTCGTATACCACCTTCTTAAAGAGTTGTTGTGAAGAGAGTTGATGGAACATTACACTCATGTACCACAATTTGGGAACCCCTGCCTGAGAACCCTGTCTTGCTATGAGTCCCAATTAGTTACATACAGCCATCCTGGAATCACTCTAGTGCATCAGAATATCAGCCAGCAATAGCCAAACTAGTGTTCCAATACAAACGTTATTTATGGAGCCATCGGCAAAGTACAACTGAATAAGATCTCAGTAGTTTAGCCTGTTTCTTTCTCAATCAACTGCAGAAGCCTTTACTTGGTC